TATGTTTGTGCAGAAGATGGATGTCACAAACCTGTTTCTATTACTGACTGTGGAGTTTTTTTCTTTCCCCACTGGGTTGGCCTTAACAGTTTAAGAAAGTGAATGAACATTCTGGAAGATCTGTAATTCAGTTCTAAGAGGCCTGCAGCCTCTGCAGAGGTCCAAGGACTATTTCTAGATTTCGGCTTCCATGTTGTAGGAAGTGCAAAGTCCCTGGGATAGGCTTCCCTACAGGACCTGAGTCCCTGAGCTCTGCTGCAGGCAGCAGGCAGCAGGCAATTCCCCAGCAAGATTGTAGTCACTGTAACAGGTTTGGGGTGGTCTGCTACATAGCAGATGGGCTGAGGTCTCTGCAAGTGTCTGCTCCTCACCCTGTTCTCGTGAGGTAGAGTTGATCATGTATTAGGATAAGCCCAGGGTGTGGGAGTCTTCCTCCTCGTGATCTGGGACCAGTAGTTCCCTCAACTGATAAATTTAACTTCACTTGTGATTCATCTTTCGCCTGTTGAGTAAGGATGCAAGTAAGGATAAATCTTAATTCTGCCATTATTGCTAGGATCAATAGGTGTTTATAGGATTGTGAAGTTGACAGGACTTGACCAATGATAGGCACTTAAAAATAGGTCAATTTGCTTTCAAAATTTTATCCCATGAGAAGAAAGCAAACAAAACAAAACAAAACAAAACAAAACAAAACAAAAAACCCCAACCCAACCCCAAAACCTCTCAGAAATGTTCTTTGATAGTAGGAACATGGGATTCATATCACATTTAGGGCTTGGCATGTGCCCAAAGGTTCTAGTAAATTTTAAAAAGATTTTACGTATAGAAGTGCTCTAGCTGCATGTACACCTGAATGCCAGAAGAGGGCACCAGGTCCCAGTATAGATAGTTATGAGACAACATGTGGTTTCTGGGAACTGAACTCAGAACCTCTTGGAAGAGGAGCCAGTGCTCTTAACTGCTGTGCCATCTCTCCAGCTCCAGCATTTTAAAGAAGAAAACACCATGTATCATAATAGAATAGTGGCAAACCACCATGCATACGTGGTTTGTGGTTTCATGTATGTGTATGTGACAACATGGGGAATCAGATTTGAGGTAAAGAAAATTCCTTCTTGTGTTTATAGATTCCACTCAGCTCTAAAACTGTAAAATTTCCTTTTACCACCTTGAAGGGAAGGTCAACTCTGAATCCAAACCAACATTCACTTGTGATGTATGCGCTGCCCTTGAGAATTCAGAGACTCCTAAAAAAGGAGAAAGGCTGCTCTTCACTTTCTCCCACTGGGCTTTAAGCAGGGCTCTGAAAACAGTAGGTGAAACCAAGATGTTCTCTTTTCCTTGGGCCCCCAGGGGATGGTGGGGTGTGACAGCAGGAACTCAAACCCCAAGAGCTCCTGGGGACCTCCCTTACTCCCGCACCCCCACCCCCGAGCCAGGGCAGGTGTGGGCCACAGAACGTTTCCTTCTGATACATCCACTTTGTTTCTGCTCTTTCCTAATACTGGTATTCTGATGATAAACTAGCAAAACCAAGTGTTCTACAGATATCCGAACAACAAAGGTACTATCCTTTCAAATTCGTGTTACGTAAAAAGAGAGTATTTTTTTAAGTTCTCTTGGAATATTTAGAGAATGTAGACAGAGGTAAGTTCCTCAAAGATTGCTTTTGATGTCTTAAAAGATGAAATTTCATGAGACAAAAACAAAAAACAAAAAACAAAAACAAAAAAAAAACAAACACCCTACAACTCTATCAAAATTCCTACTACCTCTGAAAAAGCAAAACAAACAACGAGAGGTCATCTTTAGAAATATTTTCAGGTTAAAGACGAACTGAGGTGAGGAATTAAGGACTGGGTGAGCTGAGTGGTACAGCATTTGCCATAAAAATCAATCAAACAAACAGATCCCAGAAGTAATGGGTGCCTGCTATGTATCACTGACAGCTAGCTACCCTGGGCTTCTTTCGAGGGACTCAGCCTGAGACTCAGCCTTAGCTCTTAGCTCAGAGCCAAGAGCAGGCTTGATCTTATGTACTTGTGCATACATCTGTACAATAACCACAGAAAGGAGGCTTCAACTTTAGAGTCGAGGGGCATAGCAGGGGCAGGAGGGAGAAAAAAGAAAGGGGATGAGTGATATAGTTTAATTGAAATATATTTTAAAAATTGAAAATATCATTAACTCATGGAATTAGGGAAGAGCAGCAAACAATGAAGTGGGAATAACAAACTACGTCATGGAACATACAAGACATAACACAAAAAGAACTAGGTCAACTTTCTAATGAGTAACGTCCCCCACCCTCTTTCTTTTTCAGAGAAAGGGTTTCTCTGTGTAGCCTTGGCTGTCCTGGACTTCCTTTGTAGACGAGGCTGCCTCTGCCTCATCTGGGATTACAGGTGTGTGCCACCCCCACCCTCATTCCTTCCTTTTTTTTTTTTCAAAGGCAGGATTTTATGTTGCTGACTCAAATTTAGGAGCTCCAGTGAGCCTGGAACCCGGCTTTCCAAGTGACTATAGGCATGTGCTACAACCTAGTTGAAATAATTTATTAGGAATGCAAAGATGGTTTAAAGTTACAGACTTCTAAAAGATGCGCATTAGGATTGAAGGAGAGGAAGCAATGTGCTTTCCCCAGGTGTGCGGAAAAGGCATGGGATAAAGTTCTGCATGCAATCTTCCAAACTGGTTTAAAACCAGGCTCAGCAGACACTTCTTCAATAGGCTCAACTTTATCTAACCCAAGTTCAGGTTAGCCCTGTCATCTAATGTTATTTTATGGAGGTATTAGACCATAAAGCACAGAGCTGTGTAAACTGGGACAAACTTGATTATCAACGTTTATAGATGAAAGGATTCTGTAGCTGAAACACACACACACACACACACACACACACACACACACACACACACACA